ACAATATCTCCCATAAATTACCAATTATAAAATTTCGGTAAAATGCTTGTGGACAACCTAGAAGATTAATTGTAGAGGAACATATTGAATAGTTCGTATGAAGATGAAAAGTATATGTAAATAACGTATCATTCATCAAGGTGTAACACTTAATATAGAGTTGATTGACTAAAAAGTATATACGATAATTTCACTTTTACCTTCTATTTGGTACACCACTATTCATGTTTACTTTCTCTTAATTGACATATTCAAAAATACATAAATATGAGATTTCATTAAGGAGGAAAAAAACATGTATACTCTTGATTTATATGTACAAATAATTATTTAAATAATTAAATAATAATTTTTTAAAAGTTTTTGAATTATAACTTTCCAATTCAAAAAAAGAATCAATTTTTCTTCTTTTAAAAAAAAGTCAGATATTCTTTTTCAAATTCAAAAATACTTTTGTAAACAATTTTTAAATTTTTATTTTAATTTTAAGTATTTGTTTATATGAGCTTTTTGCAAATATGACTCAAAGCTTAAAGTTAAACACAAAAATAATTTTTTTTGGAGTTTTGACTTGTCATATTCACCCTAAAAGTTCAGATTATTCACGAAAATATCATTACTTTCTTTTATTTTCGAAAATGAGTTTGTTACTTAATCATTTTCATCTCATCAAATATTTGCAATATTGTCATTGCCATCAATACACCAACCACTATAAACAACTAATTTGAAGCCCTTCATGCACCTAAATTTTCATTTTGTCTCCTTCTATCTCATTTCTGATGAACTAAAAACAAGATCTCTTTCATTTTCTCCCTGCATTCATCCAAAAGAAATCCAAGATTTTGATTCTAAAATTCTTTAAGGTTCATAGAGACTTTCAAGCTCACGATTATTGGTGGGTCGCTTTCGTTTGAGGTTCTAGGTACTTGGAAAAGAGTTATGTTAGCTAAGGAAGTTTTCTCACATATGTAAGGTATGAAATCAATTTTTTTTTCCAGATCTATCCGAATTTGGAAAGAGTTTAGTGATTTTATAAGTTGACAGTTTTTTAGAAGTTAAGTAGAGTTAGCAAATATTTTCTAACTTTCTATAAAATATTTTGTATTTAAGGTACACAGAAGTCTTCTAGTCAATGTAGATGTTAGTTTTGCAATTGACTTTACGTGTTTCTTTCTGAGACGACTTCTGTGGAAGTCTTCCGATTTTCTTTGTTTTAAAAAAAAATCAAAAATCTCAGAAAAACTTCACTGTAATTGTTTACGATAAACATGTTAGTTTTACGTTTGATCATATCATGTCAGAAATTTGACTTTTCTTAAACAACTGACATGGAAGTTGTCCATAGAAAAATAAAAATTCAATATTTAATTTTTTCAGACTACTTGCAAGTAAGTCATCTCAGGTTGCTTTTACAACTGAAAAATAAAGCTTAAATATTTAATTTTATCGAATGACTTACATGTAAGTCTTCCGATTGACGAATTACATGGAAATCTTCAAAAAAATTATTCTGAGATTTTGGTCAAACATTGATTACCACAGGCGACTTCCGTAGTAGATGACTTACATGTAAGTCGTTTGGATAAAATTACATATATATGTTTTATTTTCAATTGAAAAAGTAACCCAAGACGACTTACATGGATATCGTCTAACAAAACTTAAATATCGAAATTTTATTTTTTTGTGGACGACTCTCATGTAAGTCATTTAGAAAATGTCAAATTTGTGACACAATGTGGTCAAATGTAAAACTAACATGTTTATAATAGATGACTTATATGAAAGTCTTCTCTGAGATTTTCAAAACTTACAAAGAAATCTGTTGTAGAGTAGACTTCTCTGGAAGTCTTTCTTTGTAAATTTTCAATTGCAAAAATGACATTTTTGACGACTCCCTAGAAGTCTGCCGGATGTTTAATAAACACTAATTTTCTCTAAAACCAGAAAAACTTTTTAACTTTAATTGGAGCTCTTGAATAAAATTAATAACTTAATTGGTGATATTTATGAGGTTACCAACATTCATGTTTATCCAAATTTCTAGCTAATTTGAGAAGACATCTATGGAAGTCATCTACGTTAGTTTTCTTTAAATTTGTTAAGATATGTTTTTTCTTAATTTTCAAAGTGTTAAGTAACTTCAAGAATATCAAGTCATATGGTTTAATGTGTCTTCTTTGATCATAGGATATACTTTTTAACTTTCATGAAATTTGAAATTGAATTTTCACTTAAAATTTTGAGTTTTCCGCTAGATTTTAATTTTTCGTTTAAGTTTTTTCACTTATATTTAAATTTTCTTCTTTAAATTTAAGTCTTCCGAAAAGACTTCCCAGAAGTCATCCATAAGATTTCTCAGAAGACTTCTAGTGAAAGTGTTCTATCTTTGAACGTAAGTAATGTTTGATATTTTGTGATTAAACTAAGTTTTCTTGAGAAGTCGTCTCCCTTAATTGTAATAAAATTGAGTGCTTTTTTGTGTTATTTTGTTTTTCAAGCTGTATCAATAACTCCAATCATGTCAAATAATTTGGCAAGATAAGTGACATTTAACATATTTACCATATTTACTTATTAATATTTTTTTAAATTTACAAAAAAATCACAATTAAAGAGTACACACACAAATCACAAAACATACCACAAACAAAACTATTATATATCATTCCTTCATAAAGACAAGCTTGGATTCCACTTAAAATGGGAAAAGACTTGCCTGAAGACTTCGAGCACATTATATGTTAAAAAACTTCAAAGAAAACTTCACATAAGTCTTCTAAATTCTGACTCATATCTTAAAAACCTGCAAATTCAATGATGTTCAAATGACTTCAAAAAAAAAAAGTGGAAGATGAGATAGTTCAACCATTAGAATACACAAAAATACATATAAAAAATAGATCTAAAAAGAGTGGAAGATGAAAACCATGTGATAAAAACCTGTAAAAACAAAATACATTAGTAAAAAATACATGAGAAAAATGAGAAATTGATATACAATTTGGTGTTTTCATGTTTAAAGAGAAGAGAGAGGTTGGAGAATTTTAGTTTGAAAAATAAAAAGATACAATCTTTCTATAATATGTCTTATTTTTAATATATATTATACGAGAAGACTTCTTGAAAATTTTCCAAAAGATTTATATAACTTCAGAAGACTTACATAAACTCATAAGACTTTCTGGAGCTATATTTGTAAAAATGAATTCTATTTTTTTGTTTGGTCATAAGAGTTGGGTGTAATTTCACAAAGTTTTTAGATTAGTTTTACATTTGATTGAAGTTTGAGTATACTTTTGTATTTAAAATCAAATTTTGAGTTATATTTGACAAATTCTTCTATTTATATTTTTAAAAAATTCTAGATTTTATCCTCCATAAACCCAACCATTAGACTTAAACCCTAAATTTAGATTAGTTAAGGTTATAGGTGTTTGTTTACCATTTTACAATTAAAGATAAATATGAAGATGAAAAAGGATACTATGAAAGTGCTAATGTATGCAATATCCTAAAATACATTTGCGAACAACTAGATGAAGAATATGAAGATTACAAACTTTTATTGTTCAGTTTATCATATATATATGTATATATATATTAATAAAAAAATCCAACACATGGAATGCTAACTTTTTATACAAATCCTTCATTTTATCTAGTTCGCAAAATGATTTGTCAATTTTTTTCCACTGATAAAATCTCGTGCAACTGTAAAAAATAATATATATATTGTCTTTTATTTTTATTACGTCAATAAATACTACTTCCATACAACAGTAAAAATGTCAAATGATTTTTCATATTTTCACAGTGTCAATTTATATATTTGGCATATTCTCTTCAGTTGATATTGTAATGTCTTTTATTGTTTATTACGTCATATACAACACAAATATTTTAGATGTTTAATAAAAACTTACAAGTTTACTCCCATATATGCATATGCTTCACATATAATAGTAAAAGTATTGCATTCTTATCAATTAACAAGCTTAAAAGTAAATTATATTTCCAATCAACGTATACTATGAAATGCATATTATATATTAAATTTACTTAAGGCAGCACACAATAATTTCATAATCGTGCATAATATTTGACATAATAGGTTGGACATTATATAATATAGATATAATATATATAACCATAAAATCTAATTAATTAATGTGTTGATATAAAAATGTTTGTTATTGGTTGAACACTAAATATGACCGCGTTTATACGCCATATAATCATAGAAAATATTTATTACATACATATATTAATATATAATATGCTTACATGACCAAAAAAAAAAGGTAGAAATGTAATTTATAAAATTTTAGAATTATATTAATACCTGCATATGCGTGTGGGCCATTCACCTAACTATTTATTAAATTTGGTTTATAGTATATACATATGTGCTATTATCCACAAAAGAAAAATAAAAGACTGAATTCTAGTAAGATTTGAAAGATTCGTTTTGCTGGGAAAAAAGAGGAAATCAAAAATGAAAGACTTCATAACTCGACTTAAACAAAGACACGCAATATGATAAAGAATAAAATAATTGGGAGGCAAACTTTGTGCTTGTTCATATGACTTTTCTTGTCCAAGGAGAACAATAATTAAAAAAAAAAAAAAAAAAGACGTTCAGCAGTTATTTATTTATTTATTTATTTTTGAGCAGTTATTTTAGTTCTATTTAAACTTGGAAACCAGCTTTGTAGATTAACCACTTCGATCAAGCATCTATCTGCGAAAGACTCCCTGCAATAAAATCAAGTTTGTCACTTCCTCACCGATTTCTTTTCCTTTTGTAAGTTTTATCAGCAATCAATTCCTACAAGCTGCCTCACTTTCTCCTGTTGAATGAAAAAGGAAATAGATCCATTAATATCAAGATTATTCACTTGTATCTCATAAATGTGGGGTTACTATGAAGGGTTAGCTGATAATTAACCATATTTTTTGTCGTGATAAATTGAGGTTGAAGGAAATCTCCCCAAATGGGCAGCGATCAGAACAATGCTGAGTCTTTTCCAGTGAAGGAAGATGTTGCACCTCCAGCAACGAATGATCTAAAGAAGGAAGATGTTGCATCTCCAGCGACGAATGGTCAAAAGAAGGAAGATGTTGCATCTCCAGCGACGAATGGTCAAAAGAAGGAAGATGTTGCAGCTCCAGCGAAGAATGGCCATAAGAAGAAAGGTGCCGCACCGGAATCACATCCCATCGAAAACATAGTCTTGCTTGGGCGTACTGGGAACGGAAAAAGCGCTACGGGGAACAGCATCGCCAGACAAAAGGTGTTCCTCGCGAAAGCACAGGCATCAGGTGTAACAACGGAATGCCAGACATTTCGAGCTGTGACACCGGAAGGCCCAATACTCAATATAATAGACACTCCTGGTACGTTGTGTCATTGCATATTTGATGTTTATGGGGTCAAATTGTGTGAACGAAACACTTATCTAATGTCGAGTGGGGGTGCAGGTCTATTTGATATGTCGGTGGAAGCCGAAGTTATAAGCAGAGAAATTGTTAGATGCCTAACTCTAGCGGAAGGAGGGATACATGCTGCAGTCTTAGTTTTGTCAGCTAGGACTCGGTTTTCAAAAGAGGAAGAAATGGTACTTAGTACCTTGCAGGTTCTTTTCGGGAGCAAGATTGTTGATTATCTCATCATCATTTTCTCTTCGGGGGATGTGCTAGAGGACGATGGTGTGACACTGGACGAATATTTGGAAGATTGTCCCGATTACCTAGCGGTCGGTGTTTCTATCCCCATTTGTGCAAACTGAGGTTTCATCTTAGGACTTACGAATAATTATTTCATTGCAGAGAGTTCTGATATTGTGCGGCCAACGAATGACCCTGTTCGATAACAGAACCAAGGATCCTGTCAAGCAGACAAAACAAGTCCACGAGCTTCTCAACCTGATCGACCTGGTCAGAAAGCAGAACAATTATAGACCCTATACCGATGAGATGTACCATAAGATAAAGGTTACATAGTTTCCTTTTTTTTGTATATATATATATATATATATATATATATATATATCTAGTGTGTTTAATCTGCGGAACCAAATGGTATCACTCATCAGGAAGAGAATGATAGACACAAGAGAGAACAAGAGGCGCTTGAAGCAAAAGGGCATTCCGAAGAAGAAATCAAAGCTTTAAGGAAGCAGTTAGAGATAACGAAAGAAGAGAACTTCAAGGCAATGACAGAGATGGTATGAACTTGAATTCATGAACGTATACATAGACATAGATAACTACTGCGACATCAACTTGTTATGGTTCTTTCTTTTTTCAGATGGAGAAACAAATCAAAATGGCTGCAGAAGCACAGGAGAAGCTCTCTGAGATCAAAGAGAAAGCCGAGCACAAGATCTATGCGCAAAGAGATAGATCGCAGGAGCTGAGAAACCGTGAAAAAAAGGAAATGCAGGAATATTTAAATAAGATGAACGACCAAATGCGTAAGAATATGTCAGAGATGATGAGGAAGGAGGACGCTGGGTGCAACATTCTGTAACCAACCACCCTGCGCTTTCAATTTTCTTTTTTCAGTTTCTTTTTCATTTCAGTTATTTCCCTAAGTGGATTGGGATATTCGTTGCCCTAATCCTTGTTTGTTTTGCTTCTTGTTTGAATCATAACTATCTGCTTAATTATGTGCTTTGTAAGAAGTCACTTCTTTTCTTCTTCTTGTGATTTTAATTAAAACAAAAAACTCTAGAAAGAGTTTCCTTTTTTTTTTCTTTCCTCAACAAATACTATAATACTCAACAGTGATGAGTTGTGGAGTATGTTCTCTCTGAGATTACTCACGACTCCTGTTTCAAAGCGAGACTTTGGCGGCCGTCTCGAGAGTAGACACTCAGCGGGCTAAGGCTGCTCCGTTTTGGCTAAAATCAGTTTCAGAACCAGAAATTTTGAAAACTAAACATTTTCACAAGAGTTTTTAAAATCAAATTTTGTTGTAAATCAGAGAGAATTGTAGAAACAAATTGCTTAAGTTATTATTGATCATAAGGTTCCATATATATATATATATATATATATATATATATATATATATATATATATATATATATATATATATATATCAATGGGTTATAAAAAATAGATAAATGGAAATTACACAAATCCTAATCCAATTAAGAATAGGAAAACTACTGATACATAAAAAGTAAATAAGTCCGAATGGTCGCCTATGTCTATCTCGGATTCGACCTATGATCTAAGCTATGGTTATGGCCCACCCACTATAAGGATTATAATACTCTCCCTTGGATGCCATAACCATTAAAAATTTGTATTACGATTTGGATGTTGCCTGGTTAAAAAATTTCTAAGAAAACCCAAACCCAATAAGGAAAAAGAGATAAAACCATAGAGAGGAAAAAAAATACAACATGTATTACTCCCCTTGATTTGAACCTCACTTGCTGAATAGATTTTCTGAATTGTTACTTGAACAATCTTGTAATGCTTCGGACTTCTTCGTTAATATAAGGACAACTCATAAATCTTTGCTATCGGCCATTCTATGCTTTGGTCGGATGTGTGTTCCTCGACCAGTCCATGTAAGTTAGCTCCACTCGTGGTTTTACTCAGATGGACTTTTAACTTGCGGCCAATCATCACTCACATATCTTTTCATGTCTCACGGACCCTTTAGACTTGATGGTTTAGCCATACTACAAATACTTTGAATATGTTGAGTGTTTCGACTCAAGTACATACGGACTATTTGGCTTCTTTGTGCTTATGGTCATGCCTTAGTCCATATCGACACAATGTTCTTCTTTTGCCATCGACCATGCCGGATTCTGATCAAGTTAGGTCATGGTCGTCGACCAAACATACTTTTGGTCACTTCGGCCATTATGGTTCTTCTTTGCCCACTGATACACACTTAATGACTCATACTTACATTGCAGTCCCATATGTGAAACTTGTTAGCCAAAATATATCAGTCCATACTTATATTTTGATGGCACCTCATGACCTTCCTTGCCGTGGACCATACCACGCACTGAAACATACATGTTAGGTAATGGACCTTGTCCACACATGCCCACAACTTCCCATGAATGGCTAAGATATTTTAGTCTGATGTTGCTGCATTGACATGGCTCAGGGATAGTATCTTACTCCTGCAACGCACTTGCAGCTTTTGACATGTTCACGACCTAAAAAATTATGTGAATTTTGATAGACAACGTCTAATCCCGTCCCAGTGCTTTTAGGTCGGATATGAGCTAAGTCTAGATAGTAAATACACGGCAAACATGTATCTAGGTCTAATGTGGCTTGCTAGATACATGCTCCTATGGCACTGAGATATGGCACTTCACTTCTTCCTTGTTTCTCTTTGGACCATATCCACGATTTTGGTCTTTATAAAAACTCTTTGAGTAATTTTATATATGCCATTTTATGCACAAAGATTTAATTATTAATGTACTCAAGCAGTAAACCTAAAACAAAATTGTTTTTGCCTAGGTCTTTCATTCCAAATTCTCTCTCGAGATATTCAACTGTTTAGGACATGTATCCAGAGGTCTAGATTATCAACATTCACTTATATTTCCTTTGAGCTCAATATCCTCTGGTACTTCTGTATCTTTATTCAGTGGACCATCTAATTTCTTTTCTCTTCTATGGCCAGACTAAAATCATTGCAACCACCACATAATCTAAACCTGGTCTCTTGTCAGAATCCTTGTGCAATAAGCCGTACTTTGTGTCTTACGATTTCTTTTTCCTCACAAGACCCATTTGTCCACTGGTTTATATCATCAGATGGTGTTTTCATATATGAATGCATTCTCATATTAATGTGGATTATGATCCTCGCTTATATCTTTGAACTCAAGTGCTACCTTTCTTGCGCATCCTTATACAAATATATCATCTATGTGTCGACACTCTTATGTCGTTCCATTGTGTTCCAGACATGATATAATCGATTTGAGATTATTATCTAGGACCTTTATTACCTAGCAGCTTGACGTCCCAAGCTACATGGTTTGGTACCTTAGATGGTCAGATGGCCAGCCTTATTTCCATGTATGGTCTGGTTTCCTTTATGACCTCGGATATGTCTTGTCATTCTATGCACCTTTCTCTTTTCTTTCTGAGGTTCCTTATCTTATGGAACTTATTCGCCTATCTTTAATTGTGTCTCTCTAGGACATCAAACTCATGGTGCTAAGCTGGTATGACATAGTTATTCTTTTCTTTTCAGGTCAATGTGTCTGGCATCTAGTTCTGCTAGCTTTGTATCATCTCTTTAATATCATATGGACGTCTTAAATCATATTCTATAGTCCGAGGATCTTACCAAGACAATGATGGTTAATACCATTCTATTTCCTTTATCATTCTTTTACTCTTTTATCATTTTTTACCAGCTTATTACTTTCTCCTTAAAATGTAGGATAGCCAGATTCATTGACTCATGCAATCTGTGTACCTAGCCTCAATCTGATCACCCACTCATATTTGGCTCAAGGTCTCTTAAAAACTCGTGGGAGAAAGACATACTTATATCCAACATATATTCCCAATCCTCTTCTGAGGTTCCATCTTAGACGGCACATATGTTTGTGGTGGTTTATTCAAAATCACTTAAGATGGTATATCTCTGGCTCATGACCCGTATTCAATCTGAGATGGGAATATCTATGCTCATTTATATGGTCTGATGCATATTAACCTTATATACACGTAAATTCTTGATGTCCCTAAGCTTTAGGCTGGACGTGGATAGTGTGTTTTATAAAAGGGTCCAGCCAAGCCGTTCATAGCATGGTCATAGACCATGGTACATGAATTTGTAGTATGTTTATGGACCAGGGGTTTGTCCTCACTCCCCCTCATAAACATACTATAATTTCGTGATGCTTGGGATAATAAAGTCTAATGATTTTCCCTTGTGTACATGTTACACAGCGTGAGATCCTATGGGATAACTCTGTGTGCCCTTTGCAATATCAATCTTTGCATCAAGTTTAGACTAGGGTGGCTAATCCATTCATGCCATAAAGTGTATAATTTCATGGGTAAACACTCTGGTTACCATGGCTTTTGCCTCTATAATATTGATCTTTGGCATAGTCTAGATCAATAGAAAATGCATGTATAATCTCGATGACTTATCTTATGATATTAGGCAATTTTTCTTTATATAATCTGAAGGAACTTTTATTTCTTTTTCCCATTATTTCTATATGGAAACCATTCTTATATCTTTAGCTCTTATATCACTACAAGAAAACTCGTCTATTACTAGGACGAGTTTTCCTCGTTAGTTCCTAGTAAATCAGCATTTACTAGGACTTTACGAGGAAACGCGTTTCGTCGAAACACGTTCGTCGTAAAGAAATTTTCCTCGTAAGGTCTTAGCTAATTTACGAGGAAAAGTTTCATCGTAAACTCGTGGATAGGTTTTCCTCGTAAGGTCCTCGTAAGGGTTTCCTCGTAATGTCATAGTAAATAGTTTCCTCGTAAGTTCGTAGTAAAACTTTATGAGGAACTTACTAAAATAGTTTACGTGGACATTACTTCGAAACTTTTACTAGGATTTTGCTTCGAAATATTTTTTTATTTCCCTATTAAAAAAATATTAATTATAAATAATATATTTTTAAAAAATTAAAAAACAAATTATAAATAAAAATAATAATAAACAAAATATTTTATAAATAACTAAATAATATACAATTAAGTTTTAAAATTCATAATATACAATTAAAAATAAAAATAAACTACGGATGCCCCGCGTTAAATTGCCGAACGAACTTGTCCTAGCTCGCCAAATCGTCCTCTCCAAAGTTGGTTGCCGGCTGTGGCTGTGATGGTGGAGGCTGTTGGGTTGGAATCCCTCCGCTTTCCCGTCTCTGACGCAACATCTCCGCCACTTGCGGGTTTCCAACCGCCAAAATGTCGAGGATATCGCTGAGAGAACCCACATGCTCGGTGAGCGAACTCACATGAGACTGCGTCGCCTGCAACTCCGAGCGCAGCTGAGCATTAACATCGTGCTGCTCCTGAACGTAAGACGATGTCGCTGCGGGGACATCGTTAACCGAGCCAATCCCGACGATACGCCCCTTTTTCCTAGAGGCGACCTGTAAATAAAAATATTAAGAACGTTAAGAAAAAATTTAAATAAATTATAAAAAATAATAGTAAAACAAATTATTTACCTCCTCGTAAATCTTATCCACTTCAAGAATGGATAATATGACTAGAGTCCCAGTCTGCTAAGTAAGCTGGGTCTGGCGTTCGTCAACTCGGGCAACAACCTCGTTGTAGATCCGCTCAGAAGCAGGATCTACAAACTGCCCAGCCCTGTTCCGGTGGGTCCTCTCGTAAACGTCTTTCAGAGATGGAAGAAGTTCTGTCTCTTTAGCCTGAAAATAATTCTTAAAATTAAATATTAATTTGGAATATTCAAATAGAGTAAAAATTAAATAGTTATTAAAAATCATCTTACCATGTCTAGACGAACTCCCCCGTGAGGTTTTCGACCCGTGGTGTGAAGCATCTTCGTGTTGCCATGCTCGTCTTTGGTCATGCGGTTCCCGAAGTTTGTGTTGGAGGTTCTGACAGAGTCCGGCAACCCCCAATAGCTGATGAGGCCATCCCACACCGTGGTTGTGAGGCAAT